CCAATATCATCTTGATCTGCAAACTTCTCATCGTTGAATCCAAACTGGTCAATAAAATTGGACGTCATTTGTTGCATCTGATAATCAGAAAAGGCTTGCTGCAAAGAGGAATCCTGTGAGAACCCCGTTTCTTTAAAGTCAATCTCATCGTCACTGGGTGCGTGACCCGGTCTTATTTTTATAAACTCCCTTAGGTTCTTCTGTTCTTCCGGGAGTATCTTGATCTCTCCTTCATATTTGATGGGTAAAGCTTTTTTAAAAAATAATTTTTAATATGCTAAATCTTTGTTCAAACACAGACCCCCAGAATTCTCATATTAAGAGGTAACTCAACATACTACGGACTGCCAAGAAAACAAATAGGTTTGTCTTAGAGAGAGTGAAATCAAGTTTCTCCTTGGAGGCTAGGGTTTTAGGGCTCCATCTCACATACTTTGGGCATGTGGTCAGGAGGGGCCAGTCTTTAGAGAAGGACACATGCTCAGAAGGGTGAAGAGACAGCACAGGTGAGGAAGATCCTGGATGAGATGGATTGATACAGTAACTAGGGCAATGGGGGTAGGTGTGTCAGAGTCAGCGAGGGCAGGACAGGGTGGGCTTCAGAGTTGTTGTACATAGGGTTGCTATGAGTCTCAGATGACTCTATGGCACATAACAACAGCATAAGACAACAATTTATTCCATTAAACCCCAATTCAGTTCTTTAGGCTTAAACACCAGACTTATTCCTCCAAATCCATAAAGATGGACATAGCCTAACTATATCAGTATCTCACGGGCCTCAGATATTAGCCAAACTCTTTAGCTATAAAGCAGCATACTTTGACTAAATTCACTCCAAAACTCCCAAGTATATATTTCTAAACCTCAAATTTTTATCCCAGACTCCAAAATATTAGAACACAAGATGGATTGATGTAGTGACCACAACAATAAGCTTGAGTATGGAGGAGATTGTGGCAATGGCACAGGATGGGACAGAGTTCAAATCTGTTATTTGTAGGGTTGCTAGGCGTCGTAGTCCACTTGAAGTATCTAACAATAACAACTGGATTTCAAAAATCCTCAAATTCATGCCCCCAGCTTCTGCATCCTAGAGCCCTGACCCTCCAGTCCAAACCTCTCATAGCACATTGTGACCTTACACTGTCACAGTGTATTCCAACCATACACATCTAACACTTGAAACCATATTGAGCTGAAAAATATCAAAGTCAGACCCTGGGTCCATAAATTTTTCTCTTTCTCTCTCTCTTTTGTTTTAAATTTTAATGAAAGTTTACAGAGACTTTGGATTTCCATTCATACATTGTTGCACACTTTCCTCCCTACCCACCCCTCCTACCAGTTCAATTTTCTCTTTTAAGAAAAAAAAATCCTTTCATTGTTATACAATTCCCCCCCACCCCACCAAGCCCACTTTACTATGCAGCTCTTATTCTGGACTCTGTCATGAAAATCATACCTAATCATATATTCTTTTTAAATAGTTCTCTCCCTCATCCGTTTCAGTGCAAAGCACATTATTTATTCCCTCTTTTCTTAAGTTCTCCCCAACCCCGATATCAGTCTCATTTTACAACAGTGGCACTATGCAGTATTTGTCCTTTTGTGCTGAGATATTTCACTCAGCATAATGTCCTCCAGGGTTACCCATTTTTTATACTATTTCATGAGTTCTTTGTTTTTCAATGCAGCATAGTATTCCACTGTGTGAATATACCAGAGCTTCTCTATCCACTTGTTTGTTGATGGGCACTTAGGTTGCTTCCAACTCTTTGCTATTGTGAACAAAGCAGCAATCAACATGGGTGTACATATATCTGCTTTGGTGGAAGTTCTGGTTTCCTTAGGGTATATTCCCAGTAGTGGAATTGCTGGATCAAATGGTATTTCTATTTGCAATCTTTTGAGAAAGCGCCATACTGCCTTCCATAGTGGTTCTATCATTTTACACTCCCACCAATAGTGAATAAGGGTTCCAGTTTCTTCAAAATTTTGCCAGCAGTTTTTGTTTGCTGCTCTGTTGAATTTTGCTATTCTTACTGGGGTGAGATGATATCTTTTAGTTGTTTTGACTTACATCTCTCTTAGAGCTTGGGATTTTGAGCACTTCTTCATGTGTTTGTTGGCCATCTGAATGTCTTCTTTAGTGAAATGTCTGCTCATAGCTTGTGCCCATTTTGTAATTTGGTTGTTTACCTTTATCTTGTTATGGTGCTCAAGTATTCTATAAATTCTAGATATAAGTCCCTTATTGGACATGTCATTACCAAATATTTTTTCCCAATCTGTGGCTTTCCTTTTTACCCTGTTGGAGAAGTTTTTGGATGTGCATTGCGTCCACAAATTTTGACACCATGCTCTTTGCCTGGATATCAAAATCATTTATCCAGGACAAACCTCAATGACCGTGTGCTCCCCACCCTGCCCCTCTCCAGGCTGGCCGACTGCTCTGGGAACAGGAACTATACACACAGCTGGTCTACTCCACACCTACCCCATTCTTCCACACCTTTGCTGGAGATGTAAGTGACCAACTAATTGATCAATGTCAGTTGAGGTGTGGGGAGGACATGGAGAAAGATGTGTAAGACTAGAAGGCTACTGACTCAGTGGCATGTGCAGGATTGTCAAGCAGGGCTGAACTTTGCGGATGAGGGGGAGGCCCAAGCCTTCCGGACCCTGGTGTTGGAGAAGATACAAAAAAGAAATCAAAGGCAAAGTGGAGGTGAGGTGACTTTGGGGAAGGTAAATGTAATGGTAGGAACTGGGAAAGCCTCTCTTCTAGTTCTCATTCCCAGTCTGTCTCTCTACAGGCAGGCACCACCCCCCAGCACTAGCCTAGGAGGGTGAGCCATTTATTACAAGTTGTAAAAAGTCCAGGAACCTGTGCCAAAGTTCTGATAATTCTTTACCCACTCCATTTTCCCAGAAAGAAGAGGAGGGCTCCCACCCCTGCCTACACATCCAAGTGGAGACCTAGGAGGTGAGTAGTGCGTCTTCCTTGTGTCTCTGAGTAGTTGGATGAGTGGTAAATGGGTGGATAGATGGATAAAAGAATTGATGGATGAGTGGGTAGGTGGATAGATGGGTGAGTGAGATGAATGAAGGAATGGATAGATGAATGAGTAACTGGATGAGTTGATGAAGGCTAAATGGCTGAATAAGGGAATGGTGAATTGATGATGAAATAAAAGTGCAGATAAATATATAGATGTACAGATAGGTGTACTAATGTATAGGTGAGTATGTATGGATAAATGGATGAATGAAATAATGAATGAATGAGTGAACCAATAGTGAATAAATTAGTAAGTGACAATATATTAGTAAGTCAATAAAAGAAGAAATGGTTGAATGAATAATTAAGTATACAAATAATTTAACAAATTAATTAGCCAGTCAGTGAATGAATAAATAAATAATTAAGTAACAAGCATCAGTAAATTAGTAAATCGGTGAATATATAAGTGGCTTGTGAGACCTATCTCCTTCTCATAAACTTTACTTGGACTCCTCACTCACTCCTGCTATGACCATCAAACACACATTGAGCTGTTTCGCCCCACAACCTTCTACCTTCCTGACTCTTGTCCTTATACTTTGATGGGTATGTAAATGGGTCAATGATCCCCTTATTTTGCCCACAGGCTTGCCAGCTAGCCCACTGTCCTTGGGGCTGGTAACAGTAGACATCCAGAACCCAGACATCACGAGTTCACGATACCGTGGGCTCCCAGCAGCAGGACCTGGCCCAATTGACAAGAAACGCTCAGGGAAAAAGAAGATCAGCAAGGCTGATATCGGTGCACCTAGTGGATTCAAGTGAGGACTTTGTCACAACAGGACTATAAATTCCTGAATGGACAATATGACAGTGACTAGGAGGACAAGTGATTGGATGAATGAGTGAATGGAAGGATGCATGGGGGAGTTAGACATATGGCTGAGTGAGTAGATGAGTGGGTGGGTGCAGCACCAGGACTAGGCTATGGTGCAAAATATAAAGAAACAGGCACTTTCCAGGTTATACAAGTACAATTTACAACTCTGAGAGTGAGTGCCTTCTTCAATTTTGCACCTTTAGCATGTCACTTACTTTGCCTTAATTCTGCCTTGGTGAGCAGGCTGGTGGGTAAATGAATGGATAGGTTGACAGATGTGTTGATGAATGTATTAAATGACTAAGTGGACAGAGAGGTATGTGGTTGAATGAGTAGACAGATGGAAAGGTGGGCACATGGGTAAGATGGATGGATAGGTGTACAGATGGATGGATGGACAAGTGTGAGGATCGACTGGTGGACAAATAGGTAAAGAAAAATGTGTGTGGGAAGGTGGGTGGAGAGATGTATGGATACATAAATGGAAACATGAATGAATTGATATTTGGACAAATGAGTGAGTGGAAAAGAGTAGACAAGACTCTTTCTAATTGCATAACTCTTGTTCACCTACTCACTCTTTCATTCACTCATGAATTACTCATTACTTCTGACCTCTCATAAAAAGGCTTCTCTGGCAAGGGAGGGAAAGAAAAGCAGTGGGACTTCACTGGAGTTTCCTTTCTTTCTCCAGACATGTCAGCCATGTGGGATGGGATCCCCAAAATGGATTTGATGTAAGTAACTCCAAAGTTTCCTGAATCTCATTCAACTCCCACCAGTCTTCCACAGACAGACTCCTGGGTTCCTACCCTTTCCTATAGCTCCTATACCTAAATCTCAGGGGTAGATCCAGTGATAATCTATGCCCCTTCTGTCTCCATCTTATCCCTCTCCCCTACTCCTTCTCTGGCCTCTTTCCTCCTGTGCAGGTGAACAATCTAGACCCAGATCTCCGGAGCCTGTTCTCCAGGGCAGGAATCAGTGAGGCCCAGCTCACTGATGCAGAGACCTCTAAACTTATCTATGACTTCATTGAAGACCAGGGTGGTTTGGAAGCTGTACGGCAGGAAATGAGGCGTCAGGGTGAGCCACCTATACCCCCCTTCTTCTCCATCTTCAGTATCTATACCTTAGAAATATACCAAAGCCCCTCAGTCCCTATGGATATCCCTCTACTACTTGAATTGAGAGTTTGTTAACTGGAGCACTTCTTTCACAAATGAGCAAAACTCAATTTCTGGGTGGGAGAACCTAACTATAATAGCAGCTTTGTATTATTCTTTCCCTACAGAGCCAATTCCACCCCCACCACCCCCATTTCGAGGAGGGAACCAGCTCCCCCGGCCCTCTAATCTGAGTGGTAACAAGGGGCGTATAAGCCCATTAACTCCTGTACCTTTGGGAGGTAATTTGCCCCCAGCACCTCGGGGACCCCCACCTCCAAGCCGAGGAGGCCCTCTACCACCACCTCCTCCTGCCATTGGACGTTCTGGGCCACCCCCATCCCCAGTCCCTGGAGTTGGAGGCTCACTTCTGCCACCACCACCACCACCACCACCACCACCACCACCACCACCACCACCACCACTTCCGCTCAGCTCTGCAGATGATGGACCAGTGGCTCCTCCACCCCTTCCTGCTCTAGGGTCTGGGGGAAGCCTGGCCCCTGGTGCGGGTCGGGGGGCACTTTTGGATCAAATCCGGCAGGGAATTCAGCTGAACAAGGTGAGGATAGGCAGGATAAAGGAAGGAGGGTCTAGGGCCGTGGACTGTATTCTGCATGTTAGGGTATTGGGAGGCCAGAGGCAGAGACTGCCAGGGGTCCTAGGTTTTGGATTTTGAGATTCAATAATAGAGTTAGGAGGTTGCAGTGGGGGAGAGATGGCCTTAGAAGCTTGACAGGGTATTATGTAGGTATTATGACAGGTATTATGTAGGAGAAGTAATAAAGAAGAGGCAGGAAGGAATGCCCCCCTGGAAGGCCCTGAGCCCTGTGTGTGGTGCCCCTACTTACTGCAGACACCAGGGGCCCCAGAGAGCTCAGCATTGCAGCCACCATCACAGAACTCAGAGGGACTGGTGGGAGCCCTGATGCATGTGATGCAGAAAAGAAGCAGAGCCATCCACTCCTCAGGTGAGACCCTGACCTTCCTTAGATTGTGGCTGTCCTCCATTGGCCTGTTCTGTGCCTGTCCAGCCAGGACCAGGAACCTGCTTCCCAGGGCTAGAGATACAATAAAAGCAATCTTAACTAATCACAATTAATATTAGCATTAGCCCCAAGTGTTGATTAATAGCATTGACATGAAACTTGTTACTTGGAAAGGTTAATATGAATTTATTATGTGACAATAATGTAATTAAGTCTATCTTTGATAATAATATTATCATGCAAAAGTATGTTCACAATATTAACTTTTAACTCAAAAATGTGTCAAGATTAATGTAAATTTATTATTATGTGATGATTATAATGTAATTAACTTAACCTAATCTCTATAAAATATTAACATTAATTCACTATAAGACAATAATATTATAACTTATCTCCCCTTTTATCTTAATATTCAAATTCATCCATTAACTAACAAACTGATTAACAGTAACCCTTTGGGTGACAATACCACTACAAACTACATTTTTTACAATATTCATTTTAGCTCTAAGTCCCAAACTGAAACTCTAACTCCTACTTCCTCAGGGAGGACTCTTCCTCATTTAGGTCTGGTTTCCTAATAGTAGATCCAACCCCCAGCACTATGAATCCTGGCTTTTCAAGTACTGAGAATCCCACCCTCAGAAGCTTTGAAGCTTCTGGCACATTCTGAATGTCCTCTTCTATGTCCACTTTTATGTCCTCTTACCCTCCCTCCAGATGAAGGGGAGGACCAGGCTGGTGATGAGGATGAGGATGATGATTGGGACGACTGAGTTGCTGTCCCTAGAGAGCTTCTTCATAGTCCACATGTGGCTTCCCATTCCCCACTGGCATCTACTCTACTACATACTTCTCCAGCAACACCTCACTCTCTGCATCCAGGCCCTATACTCTGTTTCATCTACATCGACTTTCCAATGCTGTTATCCCAGACTCAATGCTGAATCCCACACTCAGTAACTGAAATTCTTTTTGTATGAAATGTCTGAATCCTCATTTTTGAAACAAAAATAAAGTACTTTTCATTTTCTTTCTCTAAATCTGTTTTCTTACATTCCAATGTGGGAGTCTGTAGTCTCTCTTCACTAAGGTCTCTATTAGTTACTTATCTAGCTTTAGGTGCTTGCTTTTTGCTACAGATTGAATTCTGTCCTCTAAAAAGGTGTCATCTTGGCAAGGCCTTTTCAGGAGTATATAATTATCCTCCATTTTTAAAAAAATCTCATATAATTATCCTATATAACGGTGTCTCTCTGGAGACTAAGGTGCACCTGATACCGGCCATGGTCTTTGCAATCACTTGTTATGCATCAGAGAGTTGGACAATGACTAGGGAGGACAGAAGGAGAGTTGATGCCTTTGAGCTGTGGTGCTGGAGAAGAGTACTGAATGTACCATGGACTGCCAGGAAAACAGATTCATCCTAGAGAGGGTTAAATCAGGCTACTCCTTGGAGGCAAAGGTTCTGGGGCTTCTTCTGACATACTTTGGACATGTTGCAAGGAGAGAAAGGTCTTTGGAGAGGGACATCATGCTTGGGAGGGTGGAGGGACGGCGTAGGAGGGGAAGACCCTCTATGAGATGGATTGATTCAGTGACTGGGGTAATCGGGATGGGTGTGTCAGAAGCAGTGCGGTTGGCGCAGGATAGAGCAGGGTTTAGGACTGTTGTGCATAGGGTCGCTATGAGTCGCAAACGACTCCATGGCACATAACAACAACAACAATATATTGTGAATCTTAACCTATGTGATGTTAATGAGACAGGATTAGAAGACTGTTATGTTAATGAGGGAGCATGTAATTTACTGGATTAAGTTATGTTGTTGTTGTTGTTGTTATGTGCTGTCGAGTCGCTTGTGACTTATAGCGACCCTATGTACAACAGCTCTAAACTCTGCTCTGTCCTGTGCCAATCTCATTGTCTCCGACACACTCATCCCGATTGCCCCAGTCAGCGAATCAATCCATCTCCCCCTCAGAGGGCCTTCCCCTCCTGCGCCTGCCCTCCACCCTCCCAAGCATGATGTCCCTCTCCAAGGACTGGTCCCTCCTTACAACATGTCCAAAGTATGACAGACGAAGCCTCAGAATCCTTGCCTCCAAGGAGCAGCCCAGTTTAACCCTCTCCAGGATGAATCTGTTTGTTTTCTTAGCAGTCCATGGCACTCTCAGCACTCTTCCCCAACACCAAAGCTCAAAAGTATCAATTCTCCTTCTATCCTCCCAGCTCTCTGACACATAACAAGTGATTGCAAAGACCATGGCCTGTACCAGACACACCTTAGTCTCCAGAGACACATCGTTGCTCTTGAGTACTTTAGAGAGGTCCCTAACAGCAGACTTTATGTATGGATTGAGTTATAGTTGAGTTAATATCTTTTGACTGTGACAGTGATGTGCCAAACGTGGTAATGGGTACCCATGGTGGACAGTGTTGGCTGGAGCTTCCCGACTAAAACAAGCCTGGAAGCAAGAGCAGCACCCACTTCCAAAATGGCTTGCCGCTGGAAACTCTATGTACAAACAGTGCTCAGGCCTTTCATTCATAGGGTTGCTATGAGTCGTCTACGACTTGACGGCACCTAACAACAACAACAACATCTTTTGAGATATAAAAAAGATTAAACACACTCAAGCAGAGATCAGAGGGAACTCATTACTGCCAAGAAAGAAGGTCTAGGAGTAGAACATGTCCTTTGGATATGAGATCCCAATGCTCTGATGACCTAGTGGTAAGAAGCTGTGCTGCAATCCTGAAGGCACTCAGATCAAATCCACCAGCTGCTCCTCATGTGAATAATGGGCAATCTCCTCCTGTGTGGTTACTGCCTCTGAAAACCTGCTGGGAGGGTCAGCTATGGATAATTTCTGACTTGATAGTACACAACAACAACAACAATGCTTAAAACCTCCTAGACCCAGGGGAAAATTGATTCCAAGACACATGGAGATCTCTAAGGTACAATGAGAGCACGAATGTTCAAAGCACACAAGAGATGACAGCATTTGACAAATTCAGAGCTCTGAATTTGTACTTCTAGGTTCTTAAACTGTAAATTTGATAAAGCCATCTATTATAGCAGCACTAGATAGCTATATAACCTCCATTTATTCACTGGATAGCTAAGCCAGCTTCATTTATTCACTCAGCCATTTATGCATTATTTCTTTGTTTGCTCCTGTGTTTTTTTTCTTTACACAAACATTTGTTGCCACTGGCTCCACTGTGCAGTATTAAAGATTAAATTGCATCTGATGGTAATTTCAGTTGCTTCCTCTTCCCTGAAAGTTGGACAATGATTAAGGATGACTGAAGAAGAATGAATTCTTTTGAACTGTGGCACTGGAAAAAGGTATTGAGTATACATACCATGGACTGTCAAAAGAAAAAACAAGTCTGTCTTGGAGGAAGTGCAATCAGAGTGCTTCTTAGAGTAGAGGAATGTAAAACTTTGTCTCACGTACTTTGGGCATGTTGTAAAGAAGGGCCAGTTCTTGGAGAAGTTGAGAAATTCTTGGAGAAATTGTAAGAAGTTGTAAGGAAGGGCTAGTTCTTGGAGAAGTTGGCCAGTTCTTGGAGAAGTTCTGGGAAAGTTGGAGAGTCATAGAAAGAGAGGAAGACCCTCAACAAGATGAAGTGACACAGTGGCTGTAACAGTGAGCTCCAGAATTTCAGAGATCATCATGAAGGTGGTATAGGATAGGGCAGATTCAGATCTGTTGTTCACTGGGTTATAGTCAACTTGATGGCAGCTAACAAAAACAAACCTTTTCCATTTCTGAAATATGATAAATTCAAGATATTAGGTATCCTATCTTTTGTGGAGGAGAGGAAACAGGAAGATAAAGGTATGGGAGAATCCAGAAAGAGAAGACTTGCAAGACCAGTGGAAGAATTTCTGAACTATTGAGTTGGAAGTAGGAGAAAAGAGGTGAAACCAGATAGGTACTTGGGACTCTAGGAGTGAAGTAGCGGGAATAGGAGCTAGCTTTGCTTCTTAAAAATTATTCCCAACCCAGGGAAAAGGGAATTCCTCCTAGAGTTGAAAAAAGAGGGAAGTGTGTCTCAGACTTCCTTTAATTTTTTTCATTATTTCACTACCACCCTAGGAAATCTAACTCCCTGGTAAGTATAGTGTCAAGAAAGGACCTGTCTGGTGTCAAACCTCACCTCCCCACCTCTGCATAAAGCCTAGAAAGCCATTGCTCCTAGATATTTCTCTTCTCCTTTCTTGGCTTTTGGAAAGAAAAGTGTCACCCAACTTCTGAATTGCCTTGAGCATTGTTGTTGTTGTTGGGTATCGTCGTGTCAAGTATGACTCATAGTGACCTTATGAACAAAGGATCTGAACCTGTTTTATCCTGTGCCATCTTCACACTTCCTGACACATTGCAGCAGTCACCATGTCAGTCCACCTGGTTGAGGATCTTCCTCTCCTTCATCGACCCTCCACTCTTCCTAGCATCTAGGAATAGCCCATTCACAAAGTATATGAAGCAAAGCCTCATCATTCTTGCCTCCAAAGAGCACTCTGGCTGCACCCTCTTTTGGTCATCTGTGGGATGCTCAGTGCTCTTTTCCAATACCATAACTCAGTGCTCTTTTCCAATACCATAACTCAAAGGCATCAATTCTTTCTTTCTCATCCCTATTCATTGTATAGTTCTCAGATGCATAACAAATGATTGGAAAGACCATGGCCTCAATCACATGCACCTTACTCTTCAAACTGACTTCATTACTCCTTAATAATTTGGAGAGGTCCCTTAACTGCAGATTTTTCCAGTGCAATGCATCTCCTTGTTTCTTGACTGCTGGTACCAAGGGTGTTAATTGTGGATCCAAGCAAGATGAAGCTGTTGACAGTTTAGATGTCCTCTCCATGCATCATGATGTTTCTTATAGGTCCAGTGGTAAGAATCTTTGTTTTCTTGACATTGAGATGCTACAGCAATTAGAGCCTCAAGGTAAAAGAATTTGTAGTAGGCAACTTGCTTGACCTCTCTGGGGCCCATTTTCCTCAGTCTTTAAAATGCGACAACAACAAAATGATGCTTGCCTCATGGGGCTGTCTCAAAAAAATAAAGTAGGTAGTTTCTTCAAAATGTTTGGATCATTGTTTACATCTATAAATGTTGTTGTTGTTTTTAGGTGCCAACAATTTGGCTGAGACTCATAATGACATAAAAGAATGAAACCCTGCCTGATGCTTCACCATCCTCACAATCTTGGCTGTATGTAGGCCCATTGCCGGAGTCACTGTGCCAATAATCTGTTTAATGGAGGATCTTCCTCTTTTTCACTGAGCCATCAAGCTAGAAGTGTTTTTCCAAGTACTGGCCCCTCCTAACAACATGCCCAAAATATGTGAAATGAAGTCTCATCATCTTTGCTTGTAAAGAGTACTTTAGATTAATCTCTTCCAAGGCAGATTTATTTGATCTATGTAGTATCCTCTTGTTCTGTTTGATTAACTCTGTTGTTCCAATGGTTGTTGCTGTCATGGAATTTAACTATATCTGAGTTATCTTTGATTATAAAGTGCACCATTATTTCATGTATCACTATGGAAGATTTAAAAAGTACTGTCAATTTAATTGTGACTCGGCAATGCTTGTAAGAAACAGTATAATTTCAGAGATTGTTGTTATGTGCTATCAAGTTGCCTGCGACTCATAGTGACCCTATGTACAACAGCTCTGAACCCTGCTCTATCCTGAACCAACCTTATTGTCTCTGACACACTAAATCCCATTACCCTAGTCACTGA